TGGTAAACTGACATCTTCTGCAGTTTATATAATCAGCCAGTATCCATTTAGCCTAAACACAAAATTTAAAAAGTCTCACACCCATAGTAATAGTAGTAAAGAATGTAAAGAATGTAGATACATATACACACAGCATATTGTACAGTAATTAATGTACTAATAGAGACATGTGTTGACTTTCAGTGAGGATAAATCTCCACTGGGACACGTGTGTATGGTATGCAATGCTAATAAGGCAGTTCTTACTCAGCAAAGTGACTCAATAGCTGGTATAAATATAGCCAGGTTTGGAGTCTCTTCTATGCCAGGAGAGACTGTATAATAAAATTTGACATGATTTTGGAGATTGAAAAGTTCTTGGCAGAATTTTCCCTTGTATGATGTTGGTTTTAGGATTTTGCTCTGCTTTGCTGAAAAGCTGCCAGTAGCATCTGAGCCAGTGCTCGGTCACAGGAGTTGGCAGAGTTGCGCTGGTGGCCTTGTGTTGGGGATGTGTTGGCCCACATCTCCGCTGGGAAAATGTCTGTGAGCAGCTCCACAGAGAGGGCTCAGCGACCTTGAGCTGTGACCAAAGGTGGGTAGTGCCAGCAGGCGAAGGAAGAGCTTGCACATTTCCTCTTAAAAATCCTGAAAAAGTGTTGATGCACTGCCCCAGACCACTGTGCTGCTGCTGTTGTAACCTGCTTCCAGTCCCCCTCATCCTAGCCCAGCCTACTCCTGGTTATTTATTTCACACCGATTAGAAGTGCTACTTGTTGCCAAGGTTTTTTACCCCTGTTTTCCTCCTTATTTGCCAGCGACAGCCACACGCTGGCTGCTCACAAAGGCGACTGGTGTGATTAAAAGAGCGCGGTTACTAAGGTAGCCATGGCAACAGCCTCCTTGGAGGTCTTTGTTGCCTGCTAAAACTTTGATCTCCAAAAGGGGCTGCTGCTGTTTCTCCATCCAATTGAAGAGAAGGATGGGAAGAAAGGATAAAGTTTACTCCAAGCAGAGGGAGCACAGAGGAACGCTTTGCAGAGCCATGCTCCCCCAATAAATCTCACAGCAGCTGCCTTGGAAAAGTGTCTGATTTACAAGGGCTGCACTTCCTCTCCTGTGCTTTCCAGCCTCTCCTCAGGCCAGTGCCCCTTGCCAGGGGCCTCTTGCTGTGGCATGGCTTGGCAAAGTTTTCCACCACTGAGAAGGAAATAATTCCCTCTCTAGTTGCTGTGTCCTGTGATCCCACTGCAGCAGGTTGGGCTGTGGAAGCAGCCTTCAAACAGGAAAACAGTTCAGCAGTTACTGCCATAGTTACCCAATATTTATCACATTTATGCGACTGCCAGTATTTGCCATGTTCCTGTATTTACCCAATTGCCATGTTTCTGACTGCACCTGCGCCTACTTTATTCATGCCATCAGTTCTTTTCAGCTGCACCACTTACCCTAATTATTTTTGTGTCTCTTCTCTGCAGACTCTCTGCTAATTGTGTGCTTGACTCCAGGTCTTCCCTGCTCCGCTGCTATTTGCTCACTGCTCTGTCGCCTGCCTGCCTCCTGTGTATTAACTCCTGTCCTCGCTGGCCTCTGCTGTGTGTCTGCACCTCTTGGAGCTGCTCTGCATCCCCTCAGCTTTTCCTCTCCCATTCCTCCTCCTGTGCTCTGCCAGTGCAGATGGGGTGCTTGCAAGCTCCGTTGCATTTCAAGGCTGGCTGGGGCCTGGGGCGTGTGAGGTGCCTGGTGGCCACTGTGGGCAGGTAAAACCCTTCAGCAGCGTGGTGGGGATAGCGATGGCACATGTCCCAGATCCTTGCAGAATGAGGACAAGCTCCTAGCTCTGACACAGTCACCCGGGACGACCCTGGAAAATGGGGCCATTGTCTATTCCCTCCGTCCCCTTGGTGGTGGGAGCTTGCACAGAGGACACAAAGCTCTTGTGGGTGGGGGCACAGATCTGTGACTCAGCAGTGGTGCCCATCTATGACCTGGAGTGCCTGCAGCCCTTTCCCAGGTGGGCAGAGCTGCTGTGCAGAGGTGGTCTGGCCAGATGGTCTCTTGGCAGGATTATTTATTGAATTGTTTTTTCCCCACCAATTTCTATTTAGCCCCAGCATCCACTTTAAAACTTCCTTGAAAGAAATGAGAGAGAAGGGGGTGAGTTTAAAGCCCATGGAAGGAACATCCTAGGCATGGAGAGATGGGTGGATACTGGCCATGGGTGCTCTGACTGCCTCCTGCCTGCTCTTGCTGCCATGGGTCTGAAAGGACACCCTGCTCTCTGTTTTGAGCAGTGTGTGACCCACCAGGGCACTGCCCTGGGATCCCCTTTGTGGCCACCACCGGGCTCTGAGCTGTGCCCATGTGTGGGTCAGGCTTGCAGAGGGCAGGAGGTGATAGCCAGTGGCAGTGCTGCCCCCCTGAGCTGCCCTCAGTGCCCGCTGGCTGGCAGGACAGGGGGATTTTTGCTCCACTTGTTGCTGGCAGCAGCAGCAGAGGGGAGAAAGTCACCCTCAATGAGGGACAGTGGTGGGAGCCTCCCGTTGCTGGGGCAACCATGGGCAGTCTCAGCCTGTTGTATTCCCTGTAGGAATGGTGTGGGGAAGGGTTAATCAGGGGATTTATCCAGCCCGGGGCTGGGAGGGGCTGAGCTGTGGAAAGCTGCTGGGGGGATGGCATCCAGGGTGGGCATTGTGCTTGCTGGCTGCCACCTGGGCTGGGCATGGCAGGCAGAGTTCAGGCTGAGCTGTGGTGGGGTTTGCTGCTGCCTTGGGTTTTTCCAGGCTTTGTGCATCCCTGCTGGGGGCTCGGGCCCCCAGGGCTGTGTGAGTCCCCTTGGCAAGGCAGGGATGCAAATTCCTCAGGCAAATACTTTTGACAAGCCAAGTGAGGCTGCACAAGCAGGGAAAATGGCTGCTCAAGCAGGGAAACTGGCTGCTCATGGGTAGCACAGAGGAGCTGCTTTGGTTGTCTTTGTTTTTACCAAGTTCTCAGGCACTGTTATATTAAGGGATGCTTTTTCCTTTTGGACATGTGATTCCTTTTGGAGATCAGAAGGTACCCAGCACTAGCAGGGTTCAAAGCTCTCCAGGTAGGTTCAAAATAAAGCAGGCACCCATTTGTCAACGACTGTTTGAAAAGGAGTTTCTGCTGTTTAATGGTGTCATTTTTTTGCCTTTTTTACCCCAAATAGAAGCCCTAAATTAGCTATGTACCTCCAGCAATTTGTCCAGTGGCATCTGCTGTCACACTAGGGCTGCATGTGAGCTTGTGCAGAGGAAATAACACATAGGAGATGAGCTACATGCTCATGTCTGCCCATATCCTGCATGCATGTGGTTCATGTGGGTGCTGTTCACATATGCACAACAGGCCTGCAAAAGAATTGCATATTTTTTAATCAAAATAAGGGATATACTTAATATGCACGTGGAACATAACACTCTAGTCGTGAGCTTCTTGGACACTTCATCCTTCCAGGAAATGGACTGCAAAGGATGTCATTAAACTCTTTGTAAGTGTAGATGAAAATGTTGCAGCAAACTGGTGGCAAGAGTCCTCCCTCAAAGTGGTAAATGGGGAGTATTTATGTGAAGCATTACCATGTTATCTTTTGCTAAGGATTTTGGACCACTTCATCAGGATGGGCGTTCCTGTGAGTACTAGTCAGCTCTGATGAGTTGCAAGTGGCTGCAAAGCACTGCCTGTAGTCATGCTATACTCATTATGGCTCCAGCAGGCTTCCTTGTGGATTTTTGATCTCTACAGAGTCTCTGCTGAAGCACTGAGAAAAAATGGATGGCGGGAGTTTGATTGTAATAACCTTCAAGGACAGACTAGATGCCGAGGAACTTGGGATCCAGTCCATCACTGTGTCTGAGTGCTGCGTAGTGCAGGACCTGGAGGGCATGTGGGGAGGTTAAAGGTAGCTTTCTACCACTTTTGCATTGGCTTACCCTTAGCTGCTCCTATTGTAATGCTAATGCCCACAATGTGTGTCTCTCTTCAGAGTGCAGCTCTCCTATCATATGCATGTCTTTAAGAATCCCAGCATGATCCTGGGGCTCTATGGGAGAGTTCATAGCACAGATGCTCTTAGGGCTGTTCTGCCAATGCACAGGTGTGTGTAAATTACAGCTGAGCACTGTGCAGGATGTTGGCTGTGTGCTGGAAAAATCCCAGACGTTCTGTGCCAAAACAAACAGGCACCAAGCTGCCCTTGGGCTTGGAGTTTGTTTGTTTGTATTTGGTTGTAAGTTTTAAATTTGAAGTGGACTTGTCTCTTTTTTTTTT